GGGGTCTATAAGGGCTACTAGAAGGGTTTAGTATGGGGCCTTAATGATGAGAATATGGTTCCTTTAAAGGGGTTCCTGTTTCAAGGGGTCTACAAGGGCTACCAGACGGGTTTAGCATAGGGCCTTACTCAGTCGAATAAGGATTTAGCCTGGGGCCTTACTCATTCGAATAGGGTTTGGCGGTAGATGATTTTGTTTATGGTAAGGAGCCCCAAAACAGTATTGGTATTTGATTGGGCCCCTATATTACATACCACGTCCTGAACCTAGGGACGGGCCAACACCACTCCGGCGCCTTCGGTGCGGGAAGGAGCTGACTGCCTTGACGACTTTGTAGCGGTTAGGGTGGAGTTGAGTTCCTTCGCCCCCAAGTTCCCAGACCGCCGGGAGGATCCAAAAAGTAGATCCCCTATGTTGGGATCCTAACTACTGAAGGGTACTTCATAGGAACGCCCTGATGGGATCTACTTTTTGGATCCTCCCGGCGGTCTGGGTTCAAATCCTGAACCACAAGCAGCCAGAAGCTAATCCCTGCAACTCCCTAGGCTCTAGGCCCCTGGGCCCTAGTTCACTTCGGCAAGGGAGCATGTTGTATGGTTGCATCACTCGGTGCAGGCAGGGCTGGGGATGCGACCTTCAGTTTTTGGTTAAAGGTCCGGGTAACGGGGGAAGAGTCCAGGAGGTTTAGGGTTTAGGGTTAGGGGATATGTTGACGTCCCACGGTAGAATCACGGGCTCCAGCCACACGGTCACATGCAAGCCAGTCTAAGTGTAGCTTTGGTTGCTGAGGGTTATGAGGCACAGGGCTGGGGCATAGATTTTCGTTCGGGTTTCAGGGCTTAAGGCTTAAGGCTTAAGGGATGCGCTCCTCTACTTGTCCGGCGACAACCATAGCACTTTCCTCCCCTTCTGCTATTGTTTCCTTGTTTCAATCAACTTAAATCTTTCCGTGTTTGGGGTTTGGGGACCCTGAAACCCTGAACCAGGAGCCTTAACCCTAAACCCTAAACCCTAAACCCTAAACCCTAAACCCTAAACCCTAAACCCTAAACCCTAAACCCTAAACCCTAAACCCTAACCCTCGCCTATGCAGGGATTCCAACTTCGGGGAGCGGTCTTACCGCAAGGACCAGCCGATGAGCCGCCCTTCGTCGTCTCTGCCAGCATGCATGCCGTGCATGCATTCAACGTGGCTTGCCGTGCTTAAGTAGCCCTAAACCCTGAACCCAAAACCCAAAACCCTAAACCCTAAACCCTAAACCCTAAACCCTAAACCCTAAACCCTAAACCCTAAACCTAAGACTCCAGATAGCCCAAAGTAGGTCCTAGGTAGACTTTAGACAACTATTCGTATACTTGGAGTCCTATGGTAGGTCATGAGCAGGATTTTTCTTGATTAGGGTAACCCGACATATGGTACACACAACCCCTATTTCCCGGCATTTACCAGATTTACCAGGTCCACAGATCCTGTAAGTACTGTCAGGTACACCATCTAATCCTCTCTTTTGCAGCAGTCTTTTACGCAGCTTGCTCAGCATGTGGGCTAGAGGTGCACGAGACTTTGATTGATGCGTAATTACGGCTAAAGATCCCCAGTAGTTCCTCATTTCCAGGTGGGACGTGGGCTGTATAGTTTCGATGTCTTAAGGTCAAACGCTCACCTTCCCAAAACTTTTCTCGCCTCAATCCCCCTAAACCCTTCATCCTTAATTAAAGCCCCTCAACCCGAAACTCTACACCCTCAACCTTTTGAGACTTCCTAGCCTGAAATCTCAACATGGGCCTCGGCGTTTTGAGGGGATTCGAGGATTTGAGGGGCCGCTGGCTGGAAGCCCCACGCAGGTCAGCCCCGCGGCAACCCTCCCAACGCCCACCCTTAGGGACAAGCACCCCCGCCGTCCAACCCCATAGGAAAATCAGTACATTCAAGACATGTGCACCAGAATTTTTCGGGAGGGAAGCGTATCTCTCATTCAACCTGTTCTGCCACGAAACTTCCCAGACCCTAGAACTCAGACGTAGCTTTCTGCACATAGCGTTGGTAACCCACAAGCACTGTTGCAACTTCTGATGTCCCTACATGAAGTGCCTGTGGTTTCTGGCTGAAGCAACATTCGCGCTCCCTGCGGACTTGCCCGACTACAGCTCACTACGGTCGAGGGTTCCAAACTTAGGAACCTAGATCGGAAACCCAGCTGTAACGGATGTTAGCATGCTTATGATGGGCTTGTCATGTGTGACTCTTGCCCTAAACCCTAAGCCCTTAACCCCTCACTCCTAATAACTCTACAATCTACAAACCTAAACCCTAAACCCTAAACCCTAAACCCTAAACCCTAAACCCTAAACCCTAAACCCTAAACCCTAAACTGTTGGGCTCTACCGGCTCTTGCAGAGCCTTCGGAACCTCTGGAGCTTGGCACAAAAAAGCCTGAATCTTTAAACCAAAGCCCGAAGCCTAGATCTCCAAACCCGACCCTAAACCAAAAACCCTAAACCTCTAAGCCCCTTACCAAAAAAGCCCTAAAACCCTGAATCCCTAAACCCCAAGCCTTTAAGAGTTATTTGGGGCCTAAACCCTAAACCCTAAACCCTAAACCCTAAACCCTAAACCCTAAACCCTAAACCCCTAAACCCTAAACCCTAATTTGGGGGTTTTGGGCTTCTGAGATGGGGCCACAAGGGCTTCCGGGGTTTGGGGACCTCGGGTTGGGTTACATGGATTTGGGTAGTTCTCTAAGTTAGGGTCCCTTTTTGGGTTTAGGGTTTAGGGTTTAGGGTTTAGGGTTTAGGGTTTAGGGATTTTTGGGTCCCCATTAGAATGCGGCATCCTTATAAAAAGGACCCCCCAAAAGGACCCTAATTTAGAGAACTACCCATTTAGTGGGGTGGCGACCTGTGGGTACGGGGTTTCTTTTTCGCACGCTTGTTGGGGGGAAAACCAAGCAGCAGGGACACTGGTCCTGGTCGTCGAGCGGATGCTTTAGGGTTTAGGGCTAAACCCTAAACCCTAAACTCCTCAAATCCTAAACCCTAAACCTGAACACCGAGGTGGAGGAGGATTCCTCGCCGAGTAGTAGCACTGCGCCAGCGCGCACGAATTGCTGCCGCTTGATGGTGGATGCTACTTGCCTGGGTTTAGGGCTTGAGGGTTTTAGGGTTTTTTTGCCCGGGCTTTCGGGCTTTTGGTCGTTTCGGGCCGGATGGGAAAGAAGGGGTGCCGAATGTCGCGATGCTAAAGAAGTACTTGGTGCAGAAGTCGCTAGGCGCGTGGTTTCCACATCTCCTCGGCCTCTTGCGGGGGCTTTAAGTCTTTCAGGCTAAGCCGGCCAGAACCCTAAAACTCGAGACCCCATCCGTGTCGAACATATTACAAGCCTTAGGCTTTTGTTAGTATAAGGGCCTTAATAATTAGAATAGGGTTTTGGGGCCCATTGTACTATAATTCGAATAAGGAACCCCCACCTACATTTCCCAAGCAGCTGATCTGCTCGAAGGCGACCAGCCCGGTTGTTTAAGTTCACGGTCTAAGGTGCCGTGCATGCGAAGAGGTTGCTACTAAGACTGATGCCTTTGACCGCGGTTTAGGGTTTAGGGTTAGGGTTTAGGGTTTATAGAAATTGTATAGGGTTTGGGTCCGGAGTTTTGGGGGGTTTTGGGGGGTTTTGCTTTTGCTTTTGTGTTTCGCTTTTTGGGGGCTGGGCTTGGCCTGGCCTGGCCTGGCCTGGCCTGGCCTGGCCTGGCCTGGCCTGGCCTGGCTGGGGCTGGGGCTGGGGCTGGGCTGGGCTGGGCTGGTGGGCTGGGCTGGGCTGGGCTGGGATGATGCTTTTGATGCACAAAAATGGTGTCCGTTTTGGGGCGCCCCGCAGGGCCGTATTTGCCCTGCGGTTTTTGATGTTCGCCTAGAAAATTCCCCTGTACGTAGACTCCAGATTTCCCTAAACCCTCATATT